TGCCATGGCAGCAGCCAAGCATATAGCAACCTCAAACTACTGGGCTCAAGTCACCTTCCTGCCACAGCCCTGGGTAGCTGGGGCTACAGTTGCCTACCACACTGCCAGCTGATTTATTTATTTTATTTTTATTTATTTTTTTGTAGAGCCAGAGTCTGACTTATTGCCCTCAGCAGAGTGCCATGGTGCCACACAACTTACAGCAACCTCCAACTCCTTGGCCTAGGCAATTCTCTTGCCTCAGCCTCCCGAGTAGCTGGGACCACAGGCGCCTACCACAATGCCCAGCTATTTTTGTTGTTGTTGTTGTTGTTGCAGTTTGGCCGGGGCCGGGTTTGAACTCACCACCCTCAGTATATGGGGCCAGCGCCCTACCCACTGAGCCACAGGCATCGCCCTGATTTTTATATTTTTAGTAGAGACAAAAACTCTCTTGTTCAGGCAGGTCTGGAATTCACTCCACCTCAGCCTCCCAAAGCACTAGGATTACAGGCGTGAGCCACACTGCTCAGCCCAAAACCAATTTAACCAATTTATTTTTAAGTGTCACATTAGGTATTTAGTAGTAAATATCAGATGTATAAAAATTATTATACTAGAATCCATTTAATATAATGCACTCAGCAAGATAAACATAAAGTTATTAAGTGAAGGAAGTGCAGGCAGGAGACTCTAATTCAATTGTGTGACAGGAAGCAGTTTTGCAGCGGAACTTTAGAAACAGGAATACCAAGTTCTGTTTCAGCACAAGGAAAAAAAAAAAGAAAGAAAAGAAAGCACCGCTGTTGAATAAGGGCAAAAGAAGTTGTTCTTTTTAGTAAATCATCTGCCATGTATTAAAGACAATCCACAATCATTCCAAAAGTTCAAAAAATAAAACTTTCCCACTAGGTTTAGACAAAAATGGGTTCCCTCGATATATGGAAGCCTGGATTTTCCAGTTTCTCTGTAACAAGACATCTTTACAGCTTACATTTTGCACCTCCCATAGGCAGATAAGGGTTGGCTTGTAAAATCAAACTGTTACTTTTGTATTTTATGTATGTATTTTTGAGACAGCATCTCACTCTACAGTCCGAGGTAGAGTGGTGTGGCATCACAGCTCACAGCAACTTCAACTCTTGCTCAAGCAATCCTCTTGCCTCAGCCTCTC